ATATATGTATATATATATATATATATATGTATATATATATATATATATATATATGTATAAGCACCTTGAAATTCAGGTGTATGTATAGGTACAGTAGAGATGGGTTTGTTGCTGCTTCTTTACTGTTTAGTGTTGAGCTGCCTATACACCCCAAACCCTAAACCCTAAACCCTAAACCCTAAACCCTAAAGCATCGATGATCCTCTGTGTGTTTGTTGTTTTTTTTTTGTTGATAAGTATAAATTAAAATATAAATATAAATTATAATTTATTTTTATTTATTTAATTACTTTTTTAAAATAAATAAAAGCAAATGCTGCTACACACAGCCAGCTGAGCCTAGCCAGGTCACTCACTCACCGACTGGTCCGGTCGAGTTGCTGCTGCTGCTGCTGCTGCAGCTGCTGCTGCTGCTGTTGCTGCTGCTGCTGTTGCTGCTGCTTTTTTATATTTTTCTCTTTATTTCCTTCTTTATTTTTATTATTTCCTAATAGTAATCTCCCCCCCAGCAGGTCAATCCCCCCCCAACAAACACACCGACAGCAGAGCACCCCAGGCAGCTGTCGATACACCTGACGGGTGCATAGAAATATAAACTCTTTACGATGAAACCATCTTCTTCATCATCTTCTGCTGCAGCAGGAGCATCTGCAGCAGCATCTAAACACCATGGGGGCCCCCAGGGGCCCCAGGGGCCCCAGGGGCCCCCACACACACGAGGTATGTATACAGGAGAAGCCCGCGTCTCCCCCCAAGGCTATACTATTGATAGAGGGGCCCAGTATATAACCAGAGCTGGCTTCGAGCCGTCTGCTGCTCCTATAGGATTCAACCCAGTTGACGCTGATGCAGGTATAGTACACAGAGAGACACACACAGCAACTTGTACTCATGCTGCTGCTATTGCTGCTGCTTCTGGCTGTTGTGTTTCTGTTTCTTCCTCTCTTGACCTCGCCTTTCTTCTGTCACTCCTGGGGACTTTGTTTGCCTCCAACATTCGAGGGTTTAGGGTTTAGGGTTTAGGGTTTATGTATATATGTTTCCTATAAGGGTTTAGGGTTTAGGGTTTAGTGTTTGTTGTTGTGTATATGTATATGTATATATATGAATAAGCTCAGGGTAGTTTACTAGAGGGTGTAGGAGATGACCTGGTGCGGCGCGCAGCGAACGGGGTGTATGTGCCTATACACCCCAGCAGCCTCGGGGGCCTTTCTGTCTCTCTTCTCTTCTCCGCCGGCAACCACCCAAAATGTACTTCTTTTATTCCTTTTCTTATTCAGGTAAACAAACTTTTATATAAAATTATATAGTGCGTGTGGATGTAGATTTGTTTACTATATATGTATATATATAATCTATAT